TGTCCCGAAACCAAATTGGTAATATATATGACTTACTCTTAAAGTGAAAAGAAACTTCCATCAAAGTAAAACAAAATTAAAAAAACAAATTGTAGTATAACAACATAAGCAAAAGACAGTGACATATGGAAATGAAACGAATGTTTATGTATATAGTGCATATGTCACTTTTTAATTAAATAATTGAAAAAAATACTGAATTGTGATTACCTGAAAGCTCAAGAAAATGTTAAAAAGGGACCCTTCAGTTGGCATTTTTTTCAATAAAATATATGACTTACTCTCCAAACACTTTTATTTTGTTTTCATTTTGATGAAAGTTTGTTTAATCATTGAAGTACTAGACGGTTTATATAAGTTAATATTTGTTTGATAATAGTAACTTATATTATTTGCATATTGTTTTAAAATTTGTATACTTAATTTTCTTTTAATCTTTGTATAATATGTTCGGTTCTTCTATATTTTTTTAAAAGAATCACATTGGTAGTTTCTTTAAATTTTTTATTAGTAAACATTTTATTTTGACATCTTTATGTAAAGAATCGGACCGGACCGAACCAGAACCGATTGGTTCGGTTCCATAGCTAACAATGGAACCAATGGTTCCATTTCTAAAATTCCCATTGGTATTCGGTTCGGTTCGGTTCCTTTTAGAACCGGACCACGCCCACTCCTACTGCTAAGTGTAGCTTCTACACTTATTCGAGATCCTAAACGATGATATTTTACTGTTTTTGGATAAAATGCTACATAACTTGTGTCGTGTTGTATTTTGTAGGTAAAACTTAATGTTTAATGAAGAATTGAAGAAAAGAATGCAAAAATAGTGAAAAAGGGATAAATCCAGAAATGGAGGACTAAGTTGCAAATAATTCATAGATGAGACGGGCAATGAAATGAGATCAAAGATGCCAATGATTTAATTTGATACAATTGGAAGATACATGAATAAGATTGCAAAAGAGAAGGACTGAAATGAAGCAAACTCAAAGTTCGGGGACTAAAGTGTAAATGCTAAAAAGTTGCGTCGAACCTTACGATGAAAATTTGAGAGTGCTATGAATTGGATGAGGAAATAAGTCAAAGGGATGAAGTATAATTAAAGTATATCACACATTAACTTTCAACCGAAAAGTTATGCATTGAATTTTTGGCCTCATAAACCCAATTTTGGTATAATAAACATTCGAATTGGAAAAATAATATTTTAAAAGAATTGTAACTTTTTGAGTTAGCTTTTCAACACATTTTGAATGACCTCAATCAGATATTAGAAAAAAATTATGACAAAAATACTAAACCTTTGCCTGTAGGAGAGGGTTATACCCCAACAAAAAATGAGGTGACTGAGGCATTCCAAACCAGCCAAGTGCACGCCTAAAAAGATATGTTCTTACAATTTATCTTATATTTTTATAATAGAACCACGTGCTAAATTTTCACTGCTAAGGTTACTATGAAACTTAGTTAATTCTTTGATTAATAATTTCTCGCATTTAGTTAAATTCTTTTCTTTGTTATCAAATTGAGTGTCTTCCTACTATTTTGATATATACTGAGTTTGCGAAGGTTAGATTCGATATTCCTTAAAGTAATCACATAATATGGGTACAAGTAGAATTTCACACACTTAAATTATTGGTTTATTTGTTGGATAATTTAATATTTTAAATAACCGGATCTTTCATGTTAAATCATTAAGAAATACAAGAATTAAAGCAGAAGCGTACCTGAATCAGACATGATTAATGCAATATGAATTTCGCGATATAGTCTTCCAAATCTACACGCAGTCTCCTTTTCCTTTCTGTGATGTGATGCAGTAGAGAATGAATAATACGTGCGTGTGATCTGGGGACCATAACCTATTTATATAGGGACGCCCTTTGACCTAATTCGACCCATCATAGAATTAGAACTTGGGTCCGATCTCTACACATATGTAAACCCATACTTTAATTGGATACATTAAAGCCCAAAATCAAAACTTTATTAGATCACTTTAATTGGGCTCAACCGAATTCGATAGCCTATAATTTAACACACAATTATTCACACATACAAGCCCATCTTTAATTAAAAATCCTTACATTATTTTCATTCAATGGATCAAAGATCATATGAACGCATGTTTCATCATCACATTACATCCTATCCGCACAAAATTCTAAAATTTAATATTTGATATGATCATGGGTGAATTCAGGAACTAATCAGAGAAGCAAAAAACTAAAAAATTAAAATATTTATACATAGCCCCGTACAAAATAAATTGCAACACAACCCAAAAAATTAACTCTCCCAATTCCAGCCCATGAGATGAGCCTAATTAATTGACCAAGAAACATTTCTGATATAGGTTGGTAGAAGTAACCACTTTCAATGACAAGCAAGGCAGATCACAGCACTCCGATACAAGGCCATCGACCCCCATAGGGCGTTCTACCAATACGCCGGGAGGAGCGTTCTACCACTACGCCCAGGGGGAGCTCTACCACAACCCCCAGAAGGCGTTTTACCACTACGCCCGGGAGGCGCTTTACTACAACCCCCAAAGGGCGCTCTACCACTATCCATAGAAATCATTCTACCTCTAAGCGAAGTCCTCAACGGGCATGATATTGCTTGTCCAAACACTTAACCATAAAACCTTTAATGAATTGACCAGATTCTATAGCCGCTGATATAGGTGCAATCTTCAGGCGGGAAGTTAAAGACTCCTCACTCAGAACGTGGATGTAGTGGGAATACCAACGTGGGACACGTGGCATCACAACCGCCCAGCGGTTACCCAGTGTCTAATATCTATAAATACCCCCGGATGTGACACAGGTAAAGGATTTTTCTCTCATTCTCGTTTTAGCCATCTAAATTTCAAATATATTTCTTCCAAGTTTAAAAACTAATTCTCACGCCGGAGGTAAAACGGGGGAGAAAGCCCCGCCTTCATTTTCCAGGTCTTGCATACTTGACGGAGTGATGGAAACGTCAAACACTACTGGGCAAATAAAAGGGTGTTGTTCCACCGCCCTTTCAATTTCGGTCACAATGCCTCGTGGTCGATTGGATGAATAGCTATTCAAATTTTACATAAATTATACTTTAAGTCCTTCAACTTTTGCTAAAATTCCAATTGATCATTCAACTACAATACGAAAATCAAGCTGATGAACTTCAATTTTACTGCACAGTTCATCAATTTATCCCTATTAATAATACTAATATTATTGGACTATATATAGGAAATAAATTATTTGTAAATATGTCATACATGCACCATTACAAAAAATGAAAATGTATTAGGACAAATATCCTTTAATTATATTAGTGTCAGATTAAACTAAATCATGTGTGATTCAAATGCACTTACTCGAACACAATTTCAAGTGAGATTTTGTATTTTGTGTTGGAAAAAAATTTCACTTCAATATGTCACTATCTATTAAAATTAAAAGCAAGAAAAATAATTCCTTATTTTCTTTCCACTCATTTTTCTAGTATTTAATGTGATGAGCGTGTGTATTCTATTTGTTCCATTTCGTAGTCATTAGTTTTTTCTTCATTTGTAACGAATCTAATAACATAATTTTGTGCACATATATCCTCTTATTGCTTTTAATTGATTAATTCTTATTCTTTGTTAATTAAATTCGACGCTCTCATTGTCACAAGTTAATGGTTTTTCATTCTTCTATATCTTTCTGTGGTACATTTTTCTTTCCATTTTTTTTTTTTGTCTTTTAGTTAATTTAATTTGTTAACTATATCCATATTGAGGGGTAAAGCCCACTATGATCATATGAACAAGGTGCAAATTTTTATATTAAATAATAATTTCCCTCATATTTATGGCCGAAGTTCCTTTAAGAAAAATTTATGCATCCCATGGATATCATTAAATATGGAGCGGGTTTAAGATCAATTTAGGTTTTAAGATAATAATAAATTTCAACTTAATAGAAATATATGCAAATATTGTTTGACGATATTTGAAATTTATTGAAATTAACCTGGATGTGAATAACAGCCCGGTATCCATCTTTTTATGTACCCAAATCTCCAAATCTAGGAAGTTGTTTATTCTTTGGACAAGAATCAAGAAGGATGAGTGAACAAGAGATGTTGAAAATGGAGTTGGATAAAGCGAAAAGAAAACTTAAGTCATTGATCAAAGAAATTGATGAACGCGAGGCTTTCTACAAGCAGAAGGAGAGATGCATTGAAGAAAAAGAGAAGGAGAAGGAGAAGGAGATTGCTCTACAAAGGATTTATGAGCTAGGGAAGAATACAATCAATTGGATAAGAAAATCGAAGAACTGGAAAAAAAAATTAGTTAAATAGTAACCCACCTTTTACTATGTCCGTAGGTACCTAATTGAACTATTTGGTTCTAATAGTTATTGATTATACCAATTCTCGAATTCATTTAACTTAATATTTTACTTCATTTTGGATTTTTCTTCATTCTTTTTTATCGTAGTGTCCTTATATTAATTTAGAATTAGTCTTTCAATTTCAAGTTATATTTCGTTTGCGATAGTTAATAATCAATATATCATATTAGTTTATCAATGATGTGAATATATTTAACCGTTTCTTAACCATATCTTGTTTCTAATGTCTATTTCCGTCCAAAAGTTTCATCAATAGGGAGTAAAAACTTATTTGAGGTGTATTTTCTTAATAAGTGAAATAAATAAATAAAATAAAATGACAACTAAATATAATTTAATATATGTCCATCATATTAAAAACATTAACAAAATTTTTGGGGATATATTAAATTTTGTCTATCCGTACCAAGAATCCTACTGCGAATCAGATCCCTATTAATCTTAAAATTCTTGATTTTCTAAAACGTATCATGAAACCCGTTTATTATTAAAAATCCCAGCGTGCAAGGCGGAACCCTCGACGCCACAGAATTATAACGTGCTTCCACGCGGAATCCTTATTATAGTAGGATTCAGTTACCAATATAAACACAGCAGATTATTCATATATTCTTTCGATACTTTTTAGTTTTTACCTCTCATTCCTATCTACGGCCAATCTTTGTGCCCTTTTTCGCCTCTCATCTCTTGTTTGTTTCATTGATTTTGAAAAAGAAAATAGAAAATCGAACCCAATTTATCATTTTTTTTTTGGTTGCATTGGATCATGGGATTTAAATCTTTGTTCAACAGGAAGAAGAAACAACGCCTTCCGATGACTGCCACAAACTCGATGACTATCAACTCCCGTTCATCCTCCTTGAATTCCAGATCGCAGATCGAGGAGGAGCTCGAACAAGTTTTCAAGAAATTCGACGTTAATGGCGACGGAAAGATCTCGTCTTCCGAGTTGGGTTCAATTATGGGCAGTCTCGGCCAGCCAGCGACGGATGAAGAGCTTGAGATCATGATCAAGGAGGTGGATGCCGACGGCGATGGATTCATCAACCTGAAAGAATTCATTGAACTAAACACGAAGGATATCGACTCGGATGAGGTGCTCGAGAATCTCAAGGACGCGTTCTCGGTTTTCGACATTGACAAGAATGGCTCGATATCAGCCGAGGAATTGCAGAATGTGTTGAAGAGTCTTGGAGAGGAATGCACATTGTCCGAGTGCAAGAAGATGATAAGTGGGGTGGATGCAGATGGCAATGGCATGATCAGTTTTGATGAGTTTAAGGTCATGATGATGATGGGATCGCGGTTTGACGCCACCGTGGAACCCAAGATTGGTTGATTCTGGATAGTATTAGAAAGGAAAGATTATTGATTCTACACAATCTCTATTTTTATGTTTATATATTTGTTTCCCTATGATCTTTTGAGGTAGTGAATAGAGATTGATTCTTCTTAACTTTGGCATCCGATTGTTTAAATTGAAGGATATTTGAGTTTTTGAGTTTTTAATTACATCAATTTGATTTCATAAGGAACTGAATCGTATGACCCAATGAATTGTTGCTTAATCAATATGTTCAGTATTTTTGCCAGTTTTGTAGATTTAATCGATATTTTTGCTCCTTTTCATGAGATGGAATCTTTGTAAATTTGATTACTATTCTTTAGTATTATTTGTCGGTTCCAAAATTAATTGCTTGAATGATTGAGGCCAGAACATGTTTTTTTTCTTAGTAAATTATTCTTTTTCCATATCTTTGTTTACAGGAATCTTAAGATGTTTTTTGCGTTTTCATGGGAGCGAAGGGCAGTGTTCTTATCATGAAAATATGTGGAAAGGTTAACAACTATTTTCCCCAACTTTTCATAGCTAGGATTATTATTTATACAAATCTTTAGAAATATTGAAATTTTGTTTGAATTTTTATTTGATTCTCATAATTTAAGTAAATTTGGTTCTCCATGACTCAAGTGAAAATCTTCATCAGCAATTGATGCAAAGGCTGAAAATTTAGGTGCTTCCATGAGAGAGGTCGTTGAAGGGACAAATTTATTATTTCTTTTATAGAAAGGATTTGTGATTGTGGTTGTTTTAGTAGTGCAATTGGTGCTAGTAGGCGAAGAATGCGATGAATCATGTTTGGTGTAAACTCTTGTTTAAGCAATGTCCCATGATATTATCTTATTTGACGGTTTAAGAAAAAAATATTTTTTCATCCAATGATTTTTTTTGACAACAATGCATGTGTCAAAGTGTGTACAAATTGGGTACAGAAATAACAGTGCAAATGTGAATGCTTTTTTCAGTTCTGTAGTTCAATCCCCCATGTCACAATCTTTTCCAAATTACGATGTTGATCAAGCATATAGTGTTGGATGAATTGAGAGATAAAATTTATTTAGTTTTATTCTTGTCTATTTAAGTAAATTTGCATAAAGTTAAAAATGTGTAGTAGAATTTTTTCAAAAAAGGGATAAGGATACAAGAATGATGGATAGCAATAGTGGAACCGTTTATGAACTTTAAGATCTGGTAACCATTAAAGGACAAAGTTTTGAGACTTAGCTCCATCGAATATTAACTATTTCAATTAGATGTCCATCAAGTAAACAATGTGAATTTTTAGAATTTCACTAAGAAAAATTTAATAAAAGTTGCAAACCACTTGAAATGTGTGCTTACAATGAATTGTTGATTTGATTTATAATTTTATCATATTTTTAAGCCATACCAAATGAGGCATAAATAAAATATCGTAGTTGTATGGGAGTTCTAGCCAATTGACATAGGAAAAATTCCTCTCCAAAAGAAAAGTTGAGGACCGGCTATATTTGATGATGTGATTTTGATAGCATAAAATTTAATTATCAAGAAATTTAAGATACATTGTGTCGTTACTCATGAAGAAGAGCGACATTAAATTCAATCAATATTCGAGGAAAATATTGCATGGTTGCTTTTGGAAAGCACAATCTTAAAAATCAATATTATTAAAATATTGTATAGCTCGGAAAAACGGTGCGAAAACATGATTTAAATGTAATATTATTCTAAAAAGTTGCAAAAATTTATGTAATTTAACATTTTTCTAGAATATTAATATATTGTTGTTCTCAAGAATAGTTTTATAAATATTATATTTTTGAAAAATATTATTTTAATGCTCATGATATTACCACAACTTCATTCATTCTAGAAAATTATCATACCATAACTCTGAGAAAACACAATCCTACACATACTACATATCAATATTCTTGAAGATTATTGTGTTTGTGCTCCGGAAAAAGCATTATTCTTGACAAAATCAAACATTCTAATCTCATAAAGAGTCGAAGAGATCTACTTTATGTGCTATCTTATATTGTTTTATAGTTTCACTTGTATGCATGTAAAATTACTTTAATGTATGTGCTATTGTTGCATCATTAAAATTATCATCCGATTGTTTGTTTTCTACTTTTTACAAAGTATTGAGTAA